ATTAACTCAGAATATTTTACAAAGCCTTTTGCTCTGTATTGTTGCTGCAAAAGTACATTTGAAGCGTGGAACGTGGACAACGTCTTTTCCAGCATATCGTAATCAGTTATGTTTTCTCTGCATAATTTCAATACCGAGCAAATGCGGAACATGGCTGAATTGTACTCGTTTACAGTTTTGAAATCTTGGAAGCGTAAATGCATCCACTCATAACGAGCCCGGGGGAGAATCGCCGTTTTCTGGTGATCATACCTTTCTTTCAGGGCTTTCCAGAGATCTGCAGGATCTTTTACAGTTAAATATTCATTTTTCAATGCCTCATTCAAATGATGCCTCAGAAATATCATTGCTTTAGCTTTATCTTGTATTGATGAATTATTTGGGGAGATTATTGTTTCTCCCAACCCCCTTGCAGCCAAGTGAATTTCGGCATCCAATGTCCATGATATATAATTTTTTCCAGATATATCGAGAGCTTCAAATTCGAGTTTGACCAGATTTGCCATGATAACTATAAAATAAAACATCAATGCTTAGATTCGAAAAATTACATATACAATCATTAATTCTTCAATACGTACAAAAGAGCAAATACTAAACACATTATACACCCCACTACATAAAATATAAATTCAGCATAATAATACAACATCGTGAATAATACTAAAGCATATATAATAAACAATATAATGGTAATTATAACTAATGTATCAAACTTTTTTTTTTTCTTATTAATATATTTTGAGTGTTTGGATTATGAAAATGAATTGTAGTGTTATATATAGATATTGGCAAATATCCATTGCAATATAGCCATTAAGTAGCCGTTGGAAACAAATTTAATGATATAATATTTGCTAATTAATCATTTATGATCATAATATTCTAATTAATCATGTATATTACCTTAAAGATTTTTCTGAATTATTTGATGAACATTTTCGTGAATATAACAAAGCAAGTAAAAAAAATGCTCCACATTATTTGATAAATTTTACGATGGGTATAAGAATAAACAGTTATAAATTTCACGCCACATTACTGGGTAAATCATTTTGTGGGTGTTAAGTATAAGTAATAATATTATTTATTATAACTTGAATAATAATTCATAAACAAATTTAATAATATCATCTTACCACATATTATTGACTATGGCATAGCCTAATTTGTCAATAATAATGGTAATGTGTAGATAATATCATATTTAGTATATTCATACTGTTGGAACCCACGAGGATCTCGATATGCACAAATCACAGACAAACATTCAACATAAACCTATGCGCAGCGGATCTAAAGGTTTGATGAAAAAAACTTACTGCTTAAAATTTATGTAGATCTGGCTGGCCCGGACAGTTGACCGCAAATCAAATCTTCTCGGAATCGAACAAACTTGACCAATCCAGAAAGCTGACGTCACGGCGAAGTCAATGGCGTTGACCGATCGGAAATCGGAGGCTCCACGCTCTCTCACGCGCGCGCGTGATC